CTCCCTCCAGCTTGTTGTCACCGTTATTTCTGACGCGCATGCGCGCTGGTGTCGGTTTCCTGCTTTTTAAATGAGTACCTGTGCTGCTTTTTGACCCACCTCTGTCGACTGTGTGTGTATGTGTGTATTTTTAAGCCCGCTCTGTCATTCACTCACACACACACTCCCGTTATTTCAGCGCGCTGGAGGTGATTACCGTCTTTACCTGTCCGGGTTGCTCACCTGAGAGGACTCACCTGTCCCGACGCCGACTGACTTTTCTTATGTTTTTGATTTAGCGCTAGAAAGAAAATCAGAGTCACAGAAGGGTGTGAGGGAAAAGGACATAAAGCGGTCCACAACCTGCGACGCGAGAAGAGAGGTGCAAGGAGGAAGGATAAGAGGGGATCGACACCTTCCATTTTCATATCCAACTTGCTCTTGTAACTTTCAGTTGTAGTTACGTCGCCAAAAGCGGATTCGCTGCAAATCCCTCTGAAGGAGTGCAGACTAATTGAACATGCCGAGGGCCTTTCTGGTTAAAAAGGCGAATGTTTCACCTGGAAAGCGGAACTGGAGTGAACTCCCTGATCATGAACGAGGAGACGTCTACATCCCAGGTGAGCCATATTTGTTGGTTAAGAAAAGGAATGAAAACAAAACGTGTGCGGTGGCGGGGTTCTGGTGCATGTTTGACTACGTTTACGCAAAGGGTTTGTGGTATTAATGCGGTTTTGGATCCACCAGGAGTGTCAGTGTGGCCGGTGGGGAGGAGGGGGGATAGTGATTGTAACGGACAGTCAATGGCCATCGAATAACGGGAAACACAGCGGCCCGTAAAGAATGTGTAGTTCCTGCTCGCTGAGAGGTGTTGCGTATTTTTTATATTTTGGCCTGTTTAAGCCTCACGGTAAGTTTTAGTTTATGTCAAAACAAACGTGTGTCCATGCGATGTGGTCGAAATTGAAGAATTTCCTTGTGAAGATATTAGTAAAATACAAATTAAAGTTAACACAAATCGTATTTTGTCCGTTCAAACGTCAGCATGTTTGCACTTCTGTTTCCATATCTGTTATTTAACAGCTCAAGTGTTTGTTGCGGGCCATAAACTAGCAAGGGCCCGTTGCTTTTCACATATCGACCTTCAACCCCTGATTGCAGCTTTCTTCCTTGTACAGCTAAGCCCTGAAATGACTAAGATAGTCCAAGTATTGGGCCTATTATAACCTACTGACGAGACATTCAGACATGGCTTAACCCCCCCCCAATCTCTTTTATGGGGTTGTGAATCCCTAGTATTAATAATTAACGGTCCACTCATATGATGTCATAATTAATTTAATCAGCAAATTTTTGGTTTCATAAATAGATGCCCAAACTAAAAACTGCAAGAGCTGACGTGTGGTAACTGAGCTTGATGTATTTGACCTTAACTAAGATGTACTTGCCACCGAAGTGAGTCCAACTCTTAACCAGCAACTTGTTTTCTACCTCTCTCCCTGAGAACAATCCCCATTGTTGCCATCGGCAGAGTTTTTTATTGTAAGACCATGTCGGTATCAGATAACAAGTAACGGACTACACCCTAAACCTCTCTCACTCACCCTTCCCCCCTCTCCCTGAGTCTCTTTCTGTCCTCAACTCATCACCGTTAACCTTTAATCATTTACTGCTACATCCTCCCTGTGTTTGAATCCGGAACATTTGGATCAACTGAACCG